GATGACATGCCCAAAATAAGAGAGATGTAGTCTCACCATCCTTGTCTTTAGAGTGCCCTGGCTGCACTTATTCCAAGACAGATCTGTGTGTTTGTTTAGCAATCCATGACATATTCAGAACTTTTGCCAACACAGTTCATAGGCTTCAATTGTTCTTCAGTCTTCTTTCTTTATGAAAGCATGCAAAGCATTTGGAAATACCATGGTCTAAGTCTTTGAACTGACATCTTGCTCTTTAGCACTGTAATGAGGTCCTTGGCAGAGATTTGCCTAATGCAAATCCTTCTATTTCATCCCTACTGTTACTAAGGGTATTGATTGTGGATCCAAATAAAATGAAATCATTGACAGCTTCTTTTTGTGTGTGAATTTGTCAAGATGTGCCTACTAGTCTGGGAGTAAGGATGTTTTCTTGATTGAGGTACAATCCATATTGAAGGTTGTAGTCTTTGGTCATCTTCAGTGACTTCTTCTAAGTCCTCTTTTCTTCCAGCAAGCGAGGTTGAGATATCTGCTTAGCATAGGTTATTGATGACCCTTCTCCTAAACCAGATGCTACATTCTTCATATAATCTGAGTTCTCAAATGATTGTTTAGCATACAGATGAACTACATATGGTGAAGGGATACAGCCTTGATGCACATCATCTCTGATTTTAAACCATGCAATGTCTCCTGTTCACATGACTACTTCTTAATACATACACAGGTTCTTCATGTGCACAATTAAGTGCTCTGGAATTCCTATTCTTCTCAATGTTAGCCATAATTTATTATGATCCACACGCAATCAAATGTCTTCGCATGGACAGTAGAGAGTATAACACAAGTAAACATCTTTATGGTGGTCTGTGCTATCAACCAAGATCCATGTGACATCAACAGTGATGTCCCTCATTCCATAGCCTTTTTTGAATCCAGCTTGAATTTCTGACAATTTCCTGTAGAAGTACTGCTCCAGGTGTTTTTTAATAATCTTGAGCAAGGTTATACTTTCTTGTGATATTAATGATAATGTTTAATAATTTCTACACTCTGTTAGATCACCTTTTATTTCTTTTCTTTTTTAATGAACATAGTGTAGATCTCTTCCAATTGATTGCCAGGTAGCTAGTTGTCTTGCAAATTTCTAGGCATAGATGAGAAAGAAGGTCCAATATTGCATGTTTTCTGTATTTCTTGGCAGCCAGTGGTTGGTGTGGACACCCCTGTTGTCCCATTCAGAATGCAAATGAAGAGTGTTTAAATTGTGGTTTGTAGAGCAAATTTGTTTGCATTGAACAGTTTACCATCTTTTATTTCATAACATTAGTTGTGATACCCTTGATGTAACAGCTCTCTTTCTCCTTCCTTTCTGGGTTTCCCAGATCCATTTGTCCTTTTTCCTTGCCCCTTACTGCCTTCAAAGCTTTGTCTTGGGGCAAATGCTATCCTTTTGGCCTCCAGGGTTAATTGCTCAGAGAAGAACATTGTTCACTTTTTTAAAAGATTTTATTAATTTTTGTGTGTGTGCCGTCAAATCAGATCTGACTGGTACAGGAGGAGATTGTTCTCCTTCTCCAGCAGAGCATCTGGTGGATTCAAACTGCCTGCCTCTGGGATTGCAGTGCAGTTTCTTGCCACTAGGCCACCAGACCTCACCATTGTTAACTTTTTATTGTTCACTTTATAAATCTGTGGTTTCACTGTAAGACAATCCCCTGGGATAGGTTTTGTTCCAAATTTGAAGGGTATTTAAGTATAAGCCAAGAAAGTAATTTCAGTGCTTTCACTATTTGAGATATTTGTGTTTGTGATCAAGCATTCACATACAAGGTAATGCTATTTGTTGCTGATACTTCATCTCCTTGTTACATAACAGTAGAATTCTGCTGCTGATTTTGGGTGCCATCAAGTCGACTAACTATTAACAGCCCTATCTACAACAATAAACCCCACCCTGATGTTGCCGCATCTTCACAGTCTGCTGTGAAAAATCTCTGCTGTGTCAAAATGCATTGCTATGGTCACTGGCAGTCCAGCCCCTTGAAAGTCTTCCACCTCTTCACTGATTCGCGACTTCTCCAGGGACTGGCCCTTCCTGACAATGTGCTCGAAGTGCATGAAGCAAATTCTCACCATCTTTGCTTCTAAGGAACACTCTGGTTGCTCTTCTTCCTAGACAGGTTCTTTTGTTCTTCTGGCAGTCCATGATATGGTCAATGTTTTTCACCAACACCAATGAAGAATTGATGCCTTTCACTTGTCAATTCTGAGGAGATAGCAGTTCTTATCTTCATGATGTGTCTGTCTAGTTTTTAAACTCAACAAGTTGTTATATTATTGGAGAGTGGCACTGCTACGGTATCTCATTTTACTGATTTCATCTAGCAGAAATTCATTCTTACCAGTCCAAGGTTTTATTAGTTTTTCAGTCAATTTTTATTGTATTGAGTGAAAATGAAAAGAGTAAAGTCTTATTATGATGATGAAAATAGTTTTGGATTTATGGACTTCCTAAAAGAGTCTCGAGTCCCATAGGAGTCCTTAGATTGCAGTTAGAGAAATGCTATTCCAATGTTTTATCTTATCTAGTAATTTTTTATTGGATAATGTGAATGTTACTTTATTGAGTATCTGATTATGTGTATTTCTTTAAAAAGTTTTGAGCTAATCTATCAGGCTCTTCATTTACTTGCAGAACCAACATGATTCTTTTTAGAAGCTAGACTGGGTCTAGATTAGTATTTATTTGAGGATTAGTTTAGTCCTACTCCCAAAGGCAGCTCTCCTGGCTCAGTGGTAAGGAGTTACGCTGCTAATCCAAAGGCAGAAGGTTTGAAATCACCACTTGGCTCTGTGGGAAAAAGCTGGATAGTCTCCTTCCTTGTGATTTTTAGGCTATGAAAACTCACTGGAAGGTCAGCTTTGGGTTCATTCCAGCTCAACTGCGCACAACATAACCTCTGTGTAGTCTTTGCTGGAAGGACCACATACCCATTGAGTTCTTCCTACTACAACCGGGTGTTCACCAGCTCTGTATATTGTTACAGTTAGCTGTTGCCAAGTTGAGTACTACTTACAGCGGCCCTGTGTGCACAACCTACCTGAATCCTATCCTATCCTGTATCATCCTCATTATTTCTGACATACGTGGGCTCATTGCTGCAGTCACTATGTCAGTCCATCTCGTTGGGGCTCTTCCTTTCTTTCACTGACCCTTCACCTTTCCAAACATGTTGACCTTCTCCAAGGAATAGCCTGCCCTAGCAACATACCCAGAGTTTGAGAGACAAAACTTCACTATTTTTGCCTCCAAGTAGCACATTGGCTGCACTTTTCCCCAAGACAAATAATCTGTCTGTTCTTTTGGCATGAATAGTCAGTACTCTTATCCAACAGCACAACTCAAAGGCATTAATTCTTCTGTCATCCTTTTTTATTGTCCAGCTCTCAGATGCGTAGCAGGTGATAGAAAAGAACACTAAAAAAAAACAACACTGATTATTCCACTTTTATCTTCTTGATAGCTTTTCTCTGTCTGGTCTTCTGGCGTTTCATACTAAGTTGTATATACAACATTTAGTATTTATCCAATTCTCAAGGTAACTCCTGTATAGATTATTGGCACTAGTGCAACTGGCTCAGGACAGGGCAGGGTACAGAGCTGCTGTACGTAGGGTTGCTATGGGTTGCAGGTGACTTGATGGCACATAATGACAACAGCAGCATTCTTTATTAAACTCCCGTCTTTCTGGTACCCTACATCTACAAAATCCAGATGCTCGCTCACTTCCTTGATCTGTGTGGAGGGACAGGACCACCATGTTCTGTGCAGCTCCCCTCCCTGAACTATAGCCCAGGGAGTGTATCTGCTGAGAGCCAGGGCTACTGTAAGATCACCTCATCTATTTCCCTTTCAGGTATTGAAGCCTTGTTCACTGTGTTGTATTTAAAAACAACTTTTATGGGTTTTTTCCCAAATTGCTCTGATGTCATTTACTTCAGCATAACAAGAAGCAAAAGTCGGACAACTAATTTTAAATATTAACTAATTTTTAAATATTAACTTGTTTTTCTTATTGTTAACTGCTGTCAAGTTGGCCCCAAGTCATGTCAACCTGAGTGCAATGGAACAGCAAAATGCTTCCCACTCTGCGCAACCCCCATGACTGGTTGTGAATGGACTCACTGTCGTCTTGAGGTTTTCTTTGGTTGGTTGTGTGGTTTTCTGCATTTCTTTATTGTAATGAGTACCTCCCAGATGTTGTTCACTGTATAGGCTTGTTTGTTGTCTGTGTGAAAGTTGAGCCACACAGTGAGCTCTGGGGGGTTTCAAGGGTGACTGAGGCTCATGTCTTGGGAGTTCCACCAATCTCTAGGGGCTGTTTTTATGTTCTCATTCTCTGTAGGACCTTCTGCTGTGATGCCTTTTGGAGTGCTCAGCACCTAGCACGTCTGGTCTCAGGCTCCTAGAAGAAGTTGAGGGTACTTGGTCCTTCGCCATTTGTGCTAACTCTGTGCATCTTTGCTTTTCCTTACTCTTCTTTGTCTCGAGCAGGGAGTGATCAGTCTTAACTTAGATGACTAAGTTTTGGAAGTTTTTGAAGACTCCAGTCTTTGTGGACTATGTTATGCCAGTTAACCTTGATGTCCCATCTCTTCCTAACCCTGTACTGTGGTTTTGAGGCCCCAAGACCAGCAACTCATTCCCTTTGTATGTTTTGATTGTGATTAATCATTGACTAATTTAGGGAACTAGGCTCTCATCTTGTACATAAATGTGGGAATTTCCCCACTGCTACACTACTGCTCCCATTGTAGGGTTGTTTTTTTTAAAACAGTTACCTCGAAATGATACTTTTTAAAAATAACTTGATTGATCATTATTCTCTCCCCCCACCCAAAAGTTTATAACTGCTGTAAGAGTGTGAATAAAATTTAAAATTATGCAAAAGAAGATACAGTGGGAGATCTATTTGAGTATGTATCTTACAAAAATCTAATTTTTATTCTTTCAGGCCATAATGCAGCAAGGAGATACAACTATAAAACCTGTTCTACAAGTCATTGTGAGTACCTGCACAAGTCTTATGTCAAACTTTTTATACAAAGATATCATAAATTACATCATAGTGAAGGTCAAATAGATTTGTCTACTTTTAAATGGAAGTCTTCTCTGTATTGCAATTAACGGGCTGGAACGGAACATGTGTAACTGATCAACATGAGGTGAGAGGAAGAGAGAAGAGACTAAGAAAAGATTTACACACAGTAAAATTGTGGAGGTTTGATGGGTGAAAGGAGGAGGGGAAGGGATGAAATTGACGGTTAGGAAAAGATAAGGGACAAGGGAGGAGACAGCTAAATTTCGTTAAGACGTGAATAACAGCATTATAATTGTAATTAATGGAATAAAACAAAATGTATATGAGCGATTGAATGAAATAAAAAAAAAAAGAAAGAAAAGTCTTCCAGAAGTCACAGAAAAAAGCCAAGCCTTATAGCCAGTATTTTTGTCATGTTAGCACCAGAGCTTCACCTCTGGAGGCTCACATGTAAGGTTTTGCCTCTTTTCTTTACACAGTTGATAGATGCTGTGGTAGAGCCACCATCATTACAGTTGCCTCCTCACTTACCTTCCTGCCCTTGGGTTTATTTTGCTCCAGTCTCCCTTTTTATAGGACCTCCAGAGAGATCCAAAATGAACTTCTCTGCTAAAAATTTTGGTTAATCCTATCATTCACTTAAGGGAGCTTCAAACTTCATTGGGCACTAGTAAGTCTAATATCCTCCCTGCTCTTCCAAACTCACTACCATTCATCTTATGTTTTTAGTATTTTCCTTCTTTCAGAAAGCTGCTTTGATCATATTCAAGGTGGGATAAATGCCTTAACTGTGAGCCCCCCCATATCATGTGCCCACCCCCCTCATGCCTCTCTGTCACCATCCCTACCCTAAGTGTAAGCCTCTTCAGTTGGTATCTTTTTTAATAATTTTTTTTTATTTTATTATTTATTTTGCGTGTACTGTCAAATCAGATCTGACTGGTACAGGAGGAGATTGTCCCTCCTTCCTCAGCAGAGCATCTGGTGGATTTGAACCATGCGCCTCTGGGATTGCAGCGCAGCTTCTTGCCACTAGGTCACCAGAGCTCCCCTTTCAGTTGGTATTTTTAGCTCCTCCTATCTAATACATTATTGTATACATTTTAAAATAGATTTTTGTGTTTTGGAAGAGAGAACAAACAAGTTGGTGGAACCTGATTTTATTCTGATCTGCATAGTGGTAGTGGAAAGAGGTTATATAAAACAGAAACATGATATCTGATTTCTTCTGCTTGGATTTAGGTGTCAGGAGAATGGACAAGTAGTTCAGTTTGTGTTGAACTGATGACAAACCCATTCCCCTGCCACTTAAAGTTTACTTATCTCTGGGGCTTTGGCAGACAACCTGGCTAATGAATCAAATTTTCTATCCTAGAACATTCGCCCCATTACTACAGGGAATAGTCCACCCCGTTATCGACTGCTGATGAGTGATGGAGTGAACACTCTATCCTGTGAGTATGATGAATGAATCTGGGGATTTGTGAATGTTTAAATAATAAAAGCACCCCCAATACTTTGAATTGCAGCCGTTTGGTATATTCCAGAAGTCTTCCATTTGCTTGGTTATGCAGTTCATTCAGGCAGAATTGCAGCTGGCAGAGAGCATTCTAACAATAGGCCGGATCGAGTGGAAAGCTGCCACTTGGCTTAATTAATTTTCTCTAACCGGTGCTCTATGTTTTCTTTGATTAATTTCCCCTAGGATGATATTGACATTTAGTGAATGTGATGGGTTAGCTGTCTTATACTTGCCTTTTTAGGGTTTTATTTCTGTGTTGGATGCTTTAAAAAGGAGAAAGGAAAAAATTTGCAGAATATGTACTTGCTGTCGAAGGACCTAAAAATTTTTTTTAAAAAAATTATTCGTTGGCTTGATTCCTGAATGATGGAAAAGAATATTTGGGACACTTTAAGAAATACATACATTTAAAAATAGCAGCAGATGTTTAATGAACAGCAAATTATACTGTTTTTCAAGTCTGACTAGTTTTAATTTCAGGAACATACTCCAGGCATCACAGGTGTGACTGGCTTTCAGATCTTTAGGTTTGAAATGTTTTGAAGGCTAAAATATTCTATGTGCTTTTCAGCTTTCATGTTGGCAACACAGTTGAACCCTCTTGTTGAAGAAGAACGATTGTCAAGCAACTGTATTTGCCAGATTAACCGTTTTATTGTGAACACTCTGAAAGATGGAAGGTATGGGCTGTGTTTTCCTGTATTTTATTATTTTGTAAAATAGGAACTCTTCATTTGCAAAAAGGAGTTGATTAGATGCCAGAATTCAATAAGGAATCAAGAAGAAGATGATGAATTTACAGCTTAGAATTAATAGCTATTCCATTCTGAATTGGAGTGACTAAAAGGTGGTGTCAAAGGGTAACAAAGTGAATATTTCTAAGTAGAAAATCAAAGGAAATGCCAAGGTCTTTTTCTCCACCCCCCACCCCCCCATTTCACCAGAAGCTCCATTTTTAGGATTTTCTTCCAAGCACCAAATTCTGATCCCCTGTCGTTGAGTCAGCACTTCCGACTTACAGCTACTGTAGGACAGAGTGGAATTTCTCATAGGATTTCAAAGGCTGTAAATCTTCATGGAATCAGACTAGCTGAGAAGTTTGAACTACTGACTTTTTAGTTATCTTCAGAATGCTTTTACCACCAATGCACCTCTCTTCTAAATAAATTCCTTTCAATGAAAAAGAGTCACTTATTCAGCCACAAAAAAATAATTAGGTAAAATAGCTGTCTTTTCTACCCCCCTCCCAAAATTTTGAGTCTTCTATATTAAATATTTTATTCCTTCAGCATAGAATATGTTGGATGCTTATAAGGTCCCACCGGTTAGAAATAGAAGAGTGAACAGTCCTTTTGAATATGAGTCATCTGAGGGCAGCTATCATAACCCAGTTGTGTTGAAGTGGGTGTCCATGCAGATTGGGGTGGGTAGTGGCAGCTAGGTATAGTACTGAGGAACTTGAGGAGGATGCCTGTATAGGGGAGTCAGCAGATGGTCACAGTTGTCAGCCCAACTGAAGAGAGGAGGGTGACTTTGTGATCAGCACAGGGTGTTGGAGAATGAGAAGCTGAGGAGAGCATCCATGAGGTGTGTGTAGTCACAGTCCAGCACGCGTTACGGGAGGGAGTCAGAGGTTTGAGCAGGTGTCCATATGGCTTTTAGATCCTGAGCATGGAAAGCACACTAGAGAGTAAAGAGAGAGATGGCCTGGGTTGTTGACAACTGCACGACAATATGAGGTGTAAAGTCTGGAAATTGACCTGGGAAATAATATAGTTAAGGGGGACCATTATTAGACCTGTCACAGATCCAGGAACCAGTGAGTGATAGTTGAATTATGAAGAAATGATAGACTTAAAAGTACCTCTTGACAGGGGAGCTCTGGTGGCCTAGTGGCAAGGAGCTGCAACTACAGTCCCAGAGGCGAATGGTTCAAATCTACCAGATGCTCTGCCAGGGAAGGAGGGACAATCTCCTCCTGTACCAGTCAGATCTGATTTGACGGTACACTCAAACAAAAACAATAAAATTTAAAAAAAAAAAAAGTACCTCTTGACAATATACTTAATAATTGTTAAAGTGGATATTCTGACAAACAGTAGTACTTTAAAACTTAATACTAATGAATCAAATGTAAATTGAGTATTACACCTGATAGGATGCAATGAGAAGAACAAATTATCATTTCCGTGATGCTCTTACCAAAGATGCATAACCAGTCATGAGGCACCTTGAGGGACATTCTACACAAGAATTGGGCTCTGAATATCAGATGTCTCAAACATGAAAGTCTTAAGAAAGACACAACTCTTCCAGATTTAAGAGACACAATTAAAAAGTAATCCTGGGTTGGATCTTGTGTAATTGACAGTTCACTATGAACGGATTTGTGGAAGAGATAGACATACCATGTCTGTGACAGTGAAGTATTATTGATGGTTGTACTGTGCTTATGTAGGAAAATATCCTGAAACTATAGAACATCATTGTGTTTGCAGCTTACTCTCAAGTGGTTCAGGAAATGAAAAATTTTTTTTTATTAGCTTTTGCAACTTCTCTATAAGCTTGAAAGGATTTTTAAGAATTGAAACATTTTAAGATATACACATTGTGCTTAATTAAACTTTTTTAAGGATTCAACCCAGATTGAAGGAGCAGCTGCATTTGATCCGATAAATTATTCCTCTAAAATGAAAATAGGGAGAAAATGGAAGAATAATAATATATGAAAGTAATTTAATTCTGCTTTACCCTGATTACTTCTGCTGCTGTGGATTACATACTAATGGCCTTTCTAGCCATTGTTTTTTTTACGGTGATCACATAATGAGGAGTGTTTGTGGCCCTTAAAGGGGATTGATAATAAAGTGTAAATGACACCTTTTGGTTGAGACCAGGCAATTGAGATATGTAGAAAGTTAAGTTGAGATTGGTCAATTTTACTGAGCCACCAGGTTTAAACTGAGCTGCTTCAGAGAGCTGTCAGACACAGGCATCTCACTACCGTCACTAAAGAACCAAAGGCTGTGGTGCAGCCTTTGGACCTGAGATTCCTTTGAGAACCACAATTGAAGAGACAGCTCAGGCCTACATAGCTAGAAAGCTGGGTGATTGCTGATGTGATGGAGTTTCCCCAGCCTTCCTCCTTTCCACGTCTTGTTTTTAATTCTCTTAGTTTATTGAGATTCATTCAGGAGCTTTTAATCTACAATAATTCTTTTAAAAAACTATTCATTGCCATCAGGTTGATTCTAACTTAGAACCACCCTTCATCTGGTTTCTGAGGCTGTAAATCATTAACAGGAGGAGGCTTTCTCAGAGTTGCTGGGAGACTCCAGTGGTCAACCTTTGGGTTAGCAGCACATGAACTACACCGTCTGAGACCCTCTGGGAGAATTAATTTGTGCCGTACTGTCCCGTAACTGTCAACCTGTTGCCTAATACTAGAATAGCAAGGTGGTTCCATGTCGGTTACTTGGGTCACATAAGATTATACCATTAGAATTTTGTTTCTAACATTAACATTGATCTCCAGAATCACAATACCAGCTTCATTTGATTTCTTCTCTTGAAGGAAGCTTTGCTTTTACTGCCTGTGTTCCTGAGGAATTCTTTGTGTTTTAAGTTCAGTAATTTAACCAGGCTATGTTTCTTTTTTGGTAGTCTTTTTTTAAAAAAAATAAAATAGTGATTTTTAATGAAAGTTTACAGAAAATTTGGATTCATTCATTTTTGTACATTTTCCTCCCTAGCCACCCCAGTTCACTTTAAAAAAATTCATTTATTGTTTCATAATTTCCTCCCACTCCCTCACCCCCCAGTCCACTTTGCTGTGCACCTCTTACTCTGGACTGTTATCATGCAAATATGTACAACAGAACACATGTAGATAACAGAAAGGGCAACTGAGGTTGAGCTTTCAAGTATGGAAATACAAAGGAAGAGGAACCGTTTTAAGCAGACACCATGAATGTAGGAAAATTAGATATTGTTAAGGAAGAAATGGAAGGCATAAATATTGACATACTAGGCATTGGTGAGATGAGATGGACTGGCATGGGGCATTTTGAGTCTGATGACCATATGATATATTACTCTGGAGATG